GGTCTGGGTTTGCCAAAACTCTTCTTTTACAGTCTGGGGTATCTCAGGATGAACCCAGAAAATGGCTTTGAAGCTATGTCCTTCATAAATGAACGTTTGGATCGTTAACCTGCCATTTTATTTGCTGGAATAAGGGATTTAATAAGTAATGGCTGACAACAAATTAACTCTAGTTGTTATTTCAGTTTCACCAGTGTTTTGGGCATAAACCAATTAGCAACTTTTTCTTTTCATTCCTCTGCCTACAGAAATATCTGGTGTCCTTAGAAATTAGTCATTTAGTGCCAACACACTTTGAAATCAGAGTCAGTCAAGATTTCATCACAAATTGTGGTTTCCACAGCACAAACACTTGGACGCATATGTTTTTCTTTTCTGTTTGCATTCATTTTGTTTATTGCTTTCTTTTATTAATAAAACTGACAGTGACACGTAAATGCCAGCAGCTCTGGCAGATCTTGCTTTGCTTTWTTTTCTGCATTTCCTGCAGCAAGTCAAGGGTTGAAATCAGTATTCAGGAAGACAGTTGTTGACACCCTGCCAGTATTTACGTAGCCAGACAAGTTCCTCCTCTGTCCCTCTCTCTGTCTGTGAGGCAGAATTCATGGCGGCATGTCCACCGAGCGTGACAAGTGGAACTGTGTGATTAATTTGGCCAGTCGTTTTATTGTGCTTCAGGACGTGCAACATTTATTGTCTTCCCCGTGCATGTCTACTGGAATCTGCCAGAGAAATTGTCCAGTGCAATCTAGACATCCATCTCTTGCTCTCTCCGTTATTTTGTGTGCGTGTTTTGTTTTGTTTTTTTCTGGCTCGCCTCTTCTCTCAGCCCTGCCTCATTTCAGGGCTGAGCTACAGGGTCGTCATGGGGGGCGGCCCAGGTCGTGGCCCGGCTCAAGCCAGGGCCGCCGGCGGAATAAATATCCTGTCTCTGAAGTGTTGAAAGCTGTGTAAATGTCAAACACATCCGTCTGATGTGCTCCCTGAGCAGGAGGAGGTAGGACGTTGGGAGAAGGAGTGGAGGAGCCTCTGTTGGCCTTCGCAGACGGCTGTTTTCAGGTGCAGATGTTGATGCTAGCTTCTTTCCTCTGAAGATTTGGCTTTTTTTCCTTCTTTTTTTTCTAAATTATTTTTCTTTTTTATGTTGGGGGTGGTTAGGAGGAGTCAGGGCTGGTTTGTCTACGTCTGTGAGACACAAACCACTAGAGGCTTGGCTCCTGTCAGACAGCTTAGTGAGCGGCGCAGCTTTGAGATTTTAACAACATCCCTTCTGACCAGCAGGCGTTCTGTTCAGGGAGGACCTTTTTTTTTTTTTTAGTTTTTCATGTTGTATTTTCATGTTTTGGCTCATCTTTCCTAAGAATTGTTTTCCTAGCACAGATAGTTAAGTGGACATTAAATGTGAAATAACAAGATCCCCACATCTTTGCATTCACAAGTACAGAGTCATTTTGTACTTTTATCTTATTTTTTCGCTGTGACTGGACTAAAAATAACAACCCAGTAGGACAATCACATACAGTACTGTTAAAATTGGTCTAACATTACTTCCATCCGCACATCCCGTCATCTTAATAGCTTCCCCTCGCCTGCTCTTACTGTTTTGCTCCCCCCGTTTCCACCTGCCTCTCTTTCCCCCGCTGTGCTGTGCTGCGCCTCTGCCACTGTCTTAGATAGTGTTCCTCTTTCCGCTCTGGTGCAGTGCCTGCTTCTTGTAAAAGGATAAGCACCACGCTGTGCTCTTTTGATATTATTTTTCCTCCTCGCCAACTCCAGCCTTATGAGGCCTCATCTCTTGTGCCGTGGTGACTGCAGCAACAACAAGGCAAAGCACGTACCCAGGGAATAGACCGAGCCAGTTGTTCATCTCCATCACCCAGGGTTTAAACTCATCTCTTGTAATAAAGTGGAGCCCACATGCGCTGTGATGGAAGTTATTTCTTTAGCTGCATGCCTAGATTACCAAAAAAAAACATGGTGATATTGAAGATTTCATCAGCTGGCTTTTTCAAAAATTTTTATTTATTGTCATTTTGTATGGATAAAGATAGAAGGGGGGGACAATAATCTGAGTGTGACTTTTTTTAATGAACTACCAGAGGTTTGAGAGTCAAAGTAATTGCAATCGGAAATTGTTTTAACAATGAATCTGCAAATGTCATGATCAAAGTAAAATATTTAAAAGCACCAAATGAAATGCATTGTTTTTTTTTATTGTTAGTGTAAAATTAGTTGTTCTGGCCACCTTCTATTAMCTTTATGTTCACTGTTCAACATTCTTTGATTTTAAAATGCAGAAACAGGAGAATAGCAAATTTATTTAAAATCAATAGCTTTACAATAACAGCATTCATCTGCAAAATTCCGCAAGTGCTAGTTTGTTGAATTCTGAAACACAGCATGTGATGTAAAACACAGGTGTCAAACTCAAGAACCGCAAGCCAAATGCGGCCCACTTGTGCCTCCTGTCCAGCCTGCAAGAAAAAAAAAATTTAGCCTTTTTTTTACTTATAGGAGGAAAATTATTTTCAAATCAATGGTAAACTTTAAATTTATGATTTAATGCAACTAAATAAACTAAYTAAAAAGATGGCAGATGATAATACCCGTCCTGCTTGTGGAGCTACARGGAGGAATTCAGACCAATGCTTTGCAGTTCCAGTTTATACAWTGTCTCAAAATAAGCTGCTTTAAAGCCAGCATTGACCATAAATTACCACAAACTTACCACAACTCAACAATGAATGAATAAATTTATTTTACTTTTACTTTCAATAGTATTCACATTTAGTCAGTTGTGCACGTTGTTTTTTTCAGTGTTTATAAGAGGACGTGTTAAAATGCTGTTTCTTCGTATGAAATACCACATAGAGCTGTTATCATTTAGCAGTTCTCAGCTGTAACAACTACACAAGGTAATGTGATGTTTTGTGCTTAATTAAAGTTAAAAACAAAATGTCAAAGTTAATAACAATTGGCCCTTTGAGGGCCACCATTACTCTTGTGTGGCCCTCAGTGAAAACGTAAAAAAAAGTAATCAGAATCTTCAGAAGCAGCAGGATCTGCTGGTGACTGTTTGAGCTGATAGTGTTAAATCACAAGTTGAACCAGGAAAAATCCAGGAGAGCGAGGGTACATAACCATTACAGAAAACATGTCCATTAATAATTTTATTCAGTTCAATATTTCCCAAATACTTTTCCTTTTGGCACATCTGTGCTTGAACAGTTTCATTTTAAAAACGCCAGAAATGTTCATGCACAGTTTTACTGAACGTCCTTCAGTTGAGGTATTTTCTGGTTAAGAAATACCTGATAAACAAAAGCACATGTTACGAGTGGCAAATCCTACAATGGACCTTCCAAACTGTTTTTTCCCCCCAAAATTTTATGTCAGTTGGACTTCTGCTGCACCTCTTGTGCTGAAATAGTCCGAGAAATCATGTTTGTTTGGACCCCCTCCAATTCTTGCTCCTTTATCCTCTCCCGAGGGATCGGAGCCCTTGCTCGGAATACTCTTGTTACTTAATTACACATTTTGGACCCGCCACACTCACAACAAAGGTCTGCCATGACTCCATTGACCCAGGTCCCTTTTTATTGTCCCCTGCTCTGACAGGGAGTCACACAAAACGAAAAGGATCCATTTAAATATGTTTCCACGGGGACTTAATTGACAGATTGATGGTGGATTTTCACCAGCGTCCAACCCGTGTGTGGATTTTTGCTTGAATTGCTCATCTCCTCCTGCGTCCTGCTGTGAGATCTTGTGGGATCATCCTGCAGCTGGACCACTCTTTTTTTATACAACTTCTCTGTCTTTTTGTCAGGGAGGTAGAGTTACCAGCCAGATGTGTTTTGCTACAAATAAATAAGTGTTGGAAAGAGAAGCAACGTAACTGGAGTGTTGTACTTTGAGTTTTTTGACTTTACATGAGGCAGGGCTTAAAAGCCTGAATTTTGCCTGAAACTCTCAGACTGAAGAAGTCTCTTGGAAGAGAGACGAAACGTTTCATTAAAGAAGAACCCGTCCAGAGGACCTACACAATTTTTTTCTTTTTGATTTTTTACCTGGATTACTGAGATGCATCAGGACTTTTTGACTTTACCTTAATTTTCCAACTTTTTTAGTTAAGGTCACCCCAATTTACTACATGTTTGTGAATTTAAACAGGTTTTTAGCATTTACTAAAAAGAAATTTTCTGACAATGAACACATATATTGAATGAAAATCTTGTCCCCTTTAGTTATTTTATAATACGTTTGTCTGTGGCAAGGTCTTTTCTTTCTTTCAGTCAGTTTTTTTTTTGTCTTCCTGAGATATTTGAACCTAATCCACACCCCTCTTAAAGACAGAATGTCCTGAAAATGTAAAAAGTTGAAGACAAACCACTTCACTTTGTGATTGAATGGGAAAGGATTTGACCTTTGGCCATGTTAAACCCGCCATATATTAGAAAACAGCTTTTCGTGTTATTCACTTCATTCATTCCTGTAGAAACCTAACATACAAATTAAAGGCTGGCTCATCACAAGACAGATTTGAAATACCACACTTAATAAGCACGGTGCTGGAGAATTCAAAGAAGCTGAGCTCTTTGTGTCCTTGAGACGCTATCGTCCAATTTTAAAGCACACTTAAAGGGCTAAATGACAAGCTGCAGCTGAATGCAAAACCACTGAACAGTCTCTTTATAACAGAACTTTGTGTGGAGCTGAGTTCGGTTTTTTCCACCTTTTGCACATTTGAAGCATTGAATTCGTAACAAAAACAGCAGAATGGCATTCTCTGTGTCTGCGCTCCTTTTGAAAACTTAAAAAAAACTCTCCTAGACGACCACGCTCTCTTTTTTCCTCTTCATCCTCTGCTGTTTGCACCAAAAGCTGACACTGAATGAGAGGTTGCAACACAAAAATAACATCTGCACTGATTGTGCTTCGTGGGGGGGCCAAATGAATAATTCCTTACGTTCCTTGTGTTTGTCTGCTTTCTGTTACAGTGTGACAGCGAAAGTGACGTTGACGACAAGGTAAGACCGCTGTTCCTGTGTTTACTCACGCACCACATGAAGCGACGGGACGTTGCGAATAACAAAATTTGCGCGCCCGTCTAAAGAGTGAAGATGGTGACGGGCTGTCGTTAGATGAAGAGGCACCGTGGAGCTGTACGACCGTTAATCATTCTCATCTTACTGAGGAACAACAGAGCAAAATGTGGCTCAAACTGAAGCTAATTACTTGTGATCATTTATGTTTTATGTAAAGATACACAGAACCGCAACTTTTGGAGCCGTTTTGGGCCTTAACTAAAATATTTTGTCTCTATTTTATACCCAGTTTTTAAAAAAAAAAACACAGAATTAAAGTTAGTCCTTTTTAATTTTCGTTTAATTCAAAGCTTTTGGAGTTACTCTTAGAAAACTACAGAAAAAGCAGAAATGTGATGAATTTAACCATTTTTTCACCTGTGGGTTATCAGTTTCACCTCTGTGTGTATGTGTGTCGCAGACTGGGCTGATGAAGCAACCTGTTTACAAAATGGAACACCGTTGGGGAAAATCGCACGTTTTAATTTCTCCACAGTTTAGCAATTACCCCTCTGGTAAATAAATAAGATAGCACGCCTAATCTTCTGTAAGCATAGCTTCTAGTTATGTGCAAATGTCTGCAACTCCTCCTATAAATAATACATTGATATCAGACACAATTTGCATTAGCTGTAGCCTGGCAAGTCAATAGGCTTTTATCTCTCCATTGAAGCGGGGAGCAACGGAAGGCGCTCGCTAGTTGACACGATGAAGAAACTTAGCGGGCCTGTCGGTTTTCATACGGAGCTCTGGCATCAACGCAGGGGGTAGAGAGGGAAGTAAAACAGGAGAGAAGACTCACAGACTGTTTTCCCATTTACCAGGTTTCTCTCCTGCTCACTTACTTCAAGCTTATATCTGATCCGTTCAGTGTCACGAATTTTAGTTTCATAAAAGTTTGATCGAATGCAAAATGCAACATGCAACACAAACGAAACGAGATTAGGAAAAACAAGCTGTGTTTTGTCACTTTTGCCGTGTTTCTGTTGTTGGGGAGGTGTCGGGCTGTCAGTTCAGAAAGCTGTTACATATTTAATGTTTAGCACCAGTTATTTTGGTTCCATGTAGGTAGACTCAGACACAGCGTATGATTTGATAAATCTTTAAAATGCTGCCAGAGAGGTGGGTTCTTCATATTTCTTTATCCTTATCTTTAATATTTATCAGTTACGAGGCAAAGAAAGTTCATCATATTTCAGTTCAAGAGATTCCCTTATCAGGTCATCGAAAATCATTCTAGGTTATAAAATTAATCAAGTTTAACCTGAAGAGTACAAATGGACACGACTGATTTCACCATTTATTAACAAAAATCACCATAATGTAAAAGTGAAATCTAAATCCAGCTTATGATTAATAAGCTTATTCCAGCATCCGTTAAGGTTTACAGACAGTTTCTGCACAGCCCTCCACAGCCGTGAATCAAGCTGAGGTCAGGACTCGGACTGGACCACAGCCACATCCTGATTGTTCTTGTTTTCAGTCACTTTGTTGTCGATTTTCTTCTGTTTGGGATCAGTGTTCTGTTGCATCACGACTCACTTTGGTCCAAGCTGCAGTTGTTGGACACATGGACTCACATTTGACTCCGTTGTTTTAGACCACAGAGGAGTTGATGGCCAGCTCAGTGTCTTGCAGGGTGTCTGGGTCCTGTGGCTACAAACCCAGTCTGAAACATCACCCTCCCACTGCTGTGCTTCACAGCTGGTGTGACGTGTCTGTTCTGATCCAGTGAGCTGTATGTAGTTTTCACCCTCTGTGCATTATGGTCGCACAACTTTACTTTGTCCAAAGAAGTCTTTTAGATGCAGCTTAACAAACCTAAGTTTGTATTAGAAAGCAAAAGGTTCACTTCTGGCCATCCTTCTGAACAAACTATACTTATCATTTTGTCTTGTGATGAATTTCAACTGTTTGTTTGTTTATTTATTTATTTATTTATTGTCATTTTGTATGGATAAAG